TGGGACCATACCAGAGGTGGCCTCAGAGTGAGCGTCCCTCCGACTCTCCTTTATCCCTCTATGGAGACTCATTGAGGGCGACCATAATGCGAAAAAAGCCGCTTGTCACTGGAACGAGATGGGTTCCCCATGACCTATTTAGCGTGACTACTAAGACGTATCACGAGCCAGGGCCAAGGCAGAGTCCTGGGACCTAGACATGGACCCCATACTGTTCCAGCTCACAGGGTGGCTACGTCCGCGGCCATGGTCGGGGCGGAGTGCAGGGACCTCGGCCGGTCCTGATGCAGGGCCGGTTCCCAGGAGGCCTCCGCGGTGGCGGAGCGCAGGCCTGCGCCGCCCCTGAGAGCTGGGGCGGCGGGCGGTTCCGGATCAGGGCGGCCCTCGGCGGAGGCAGGGACCGGCCGGCGCCCTACAGCAGGCCGAGACAGCTTCCCGACGAGTGGCACCACGACCGTTTCCACAGGGACTTCGGCAGGGGCGCCGGCCTGATGACCGGCGGGAAGCTGCTGCTGTCCAACCTGGACTTCCGAGTGTCCGACGCGGACATCCAGCAGCTGTTTGCGGAGTTCGGGCCTCTGAAGCAGGCCGCTGTCCATTACGACCGCTCTGGCCGCAGCCTGGGAACAGCCCACGTGCACTTTGAGCGCAAGGCAGACGCCCTGGAAGCCAGGAAGCAGTACAACGGCGTCCCTTTGGATGGCCGTCCCCTCCACATCCAGATCCTCACCTCGAACATAGTCACGCAGCCCAGGCCGGTACCGAGTGTCAACAGAGGCCGGGTGACTACAAACCGAGGATCTGGAGGCTTCGGCGGCGGCACTCAGGGCCGCTCCAGCGGAAGCAACCTGTGTACAGGCAGGCGCACTGGCCGCCATTCAAAGCCACACATCTCGGCGGAGGAGTTGGACGCCCAGCTGGACGCTTACAACTCGATGAGGGGCCCCAAGCAGCTGGATGCCAAGCAGGACGCTTACAGCGCGATGAGGGGCACCCAGCAGTTGGACGCCCAAAAGGGCGCTTACTACTCGATGAGGGACACCAAAAGGATGGACGCCCACCTGGGCGCTTACCATGCCATGAGGGACACCAAAAAGCTGGACGCCCAGAAGGATGCTTACAGCTCCATGAGGGACACCGAGGAGTTGGACTCCCAGCTGGACGCTGACAGCGAGATGAAGGACGCCGAGAACCTGGACGCCCTGCTGGACGATGACGACGCGACGATGGACACCAGCTAAAGCACCAGCCAGTGGGTGTGCGCGAGGTTGGCCAGGGACCTGGGGCCAATGATGGAGTTTGTTTCTTCTGTTTGGAAATAGGATTTAAAACTCTTAGAAAGATTTTTCGTTCACTTTTCTTTTATTCAATAACTCTGAAAAAGACCGGTTTTGTGCCGAGTCATTTTCGGGATTCACTTTACCGGTTGCTGTTTTCACCTTGGCCATAATCAACCGAAAAGGTGTGGGAAAAACACACAGACAAACAAACAAACAAAATAACTCGTTCCCTCCGATAAAACAACAACAACAAAATACCCTCCTCAGAAAAAAAAGGTTGATCCCGCCTTCCAATTTCTGAGGCTTTGGCAAGCCCAGGTGGCCAGGCCTGGACTTGGTCTCTGGGAGGGGGCCTGACCATCCATCCACAGAGTGAGCGGGGTGGGGGAGGGGTGGGGGTGGGGGTGAGTGTGGGGGGACGGGGGGCGGGGTGGGCGTGGGCGGGGTTTGGATCAGATGGACAGTCCAGGACGTCATCTTTGGCTGTGGATTACAGAATTTGGCTGGACTGGCGCAGGGGCCGAAGAGCCCGACCCGCCCTCTGCTGGTCGAGAAGCGTCAACGCAAGCCCCCCTCCTGCAACCGCCTGTGGGGAAAGCACAGACAGGTGACTGGACTTCCCCATTTCTGGCTAGACCCGAGGCGGGAAGCACTTGCAGGGGGCGTTGTCTTTGAGAAGGCAGGTGCTGAAGGGTGTTCATGGATGGCGACGGACCGTTCAAAGCAAGGAGTGTCCGTGCGTGACTTCGGATGTACACGGACAGACGCACACGCTCGCGCGCGCACACAAACTTCCACACCCACACACCTATCCCTCCCGCCTCCAACCCCCTCCCCCGCTCCCCGCGTCCCCCCACCACACACACACACACACACACACACACACACACACACGCGAGAGCACAAGGTCCCGCTAACAAGATATCTGCCGAGTGAGGCACGCCTAGGAGATTTTCCGTGGCTTTGTTTCCTTTTGGCACGTCCTGGGCCCACGGGAGCCTGTCTTAGTATGTATTGTCCCCTCTTCCACCGAGAAAAAACGGCGATGCCATCCCGCAAGGCGTGGAGACAGAGCCCTGCAGGCCTCCTTGGGCACTTGCCCTGTCTCCCAAGTCCTCCCCCAAGCCCTGTGAATCGCTTGGGCGGGCCAGGTGCGCCCTCTCCTGGTCCTGCAGCGCCAATGCAAGCCTCCTCCCCTCCACTTGAGGCCCAACCGGTGACGTCGGTCCTGGGGGCGGCTGATTGGTCGAGCGGGCAGCTGATTTGGCTCCTCCCACCAGCTCTGGGGCTATAAAAGAACACAGGGCCTTCTTTGCAGAGCTTCTCAGCCCTAGGCTTGTGGTCGTGGTCGTCGTCCTCGTTCTCCAAGGGAGCTTTCAGGAGAGAGGTCTCGCCAAGACCCGGTCCCGGGACATAGAAGCCGCTAGAGCACCTGGCTAGAGCCTGGCTGGGCTGCTGATCCACTGAACGCTGTCTCGGTGTCATTTCTTCTTCACCGACTCGTCCACACCCTTGGGAACCCCTGGGCCTGGACCCCAACATCTGGGACAGCCCCGGCGCCGCGCGGTAAGTGAAGGACTCGCGTGCCTCCGCACGGGCTCCATCCGAGGCTGATTCGGGGCCCGCCATGGCCAACAAAATCCACATGTCACTGGACGACATCATTCGGCTGGACCGGAGCCAGCGGGACCGCCATGGCCGAGGATGAGGCGGCGGCGGGGGTGGGGCGGGGGGTGGGGGCGGGGGCGGGGGCCGGGGCAGGGGCAGGGACCTAGGCTGGGACCGAGGCTGGGCCAGCTCCCAGGGAGGCCTCCGCGGTGGCGGAGCGCAGGCCGCGGCCGCCCCCGAGAGCTGGGGCAGCGGGCCGTTCCGGAACAGGGCGGCCCTCGGCCGAGGCAGGGACCGGCCGGCGCCCTACAGCAGGCCGAGACAGCTTCCCGACGAGTGGCACCACGACCGCTTCCGCAGGGACTTCGGCAGGGGCGCCGGCCTGATGACCGGCGGGAAGCTGCTGCTGTCCAACCTGGACTTCCGAGTGTCCGACGCGGACATCCAGCAGCTGTTTGCGGAGTTCGGGCCTCTGAAGCAGGCCGCTGTCCATTACGACCGCTCTGGCCGCAGCCTGGGAACAGCCCACGTGCACTTTGAGCGCAAGGCAGACGCCCTGGAAGCCAGGAAGCAGTACAACGGCGTCCCTTTGGATGGCCGTCCCCTCCACATCCAGATCCTCACCTCGAACATAGTCACGCAGCCCAGGCCGGTACCGAGTGTCAACAGAGGCCGGGTGACTACAAACCGAGGATCTGGAGGCTTCGGGGGCGGTGGAGGCGGCGGCGGCGGCGGCGGTGGCGGCGGCACTCAGGGCCGCTCCAGCGGAGGCAACCTGTGTACAGGCAGGCGCACTGGCCGCCATTCAAAGCCACACATCTCGGCGGAAGAGTTGGACGCCCAGCTGGAAGCTTACAACTCGATGAGGGGCCCCAAGCAGCTGGACGCCAAGCAGGATGCTTACAGCGCGATGAGGGGCACCCAGCAGTTGGACGCCCAAAAGGGCGCTTACTACTCCATGAGGGACACCAAAAGGATGGACGCCCACCTGGCGCTTACCATGCCATGAGGGACACCAAAAAGCTGGACGCCCAGAAGGATGCTTACAGCTCCATGAGGGACACCGAGGAGTTGGACTCCCAGCTGGACGCTGACAGCGAGATGAAGGACGCCGAGGACCTGGACGCCCTGCTGGACGATGACGACGCGACGATGGACACCAGCTAAAGCACAGCAAGTGGGGTGTGCGCGAGGATGGCCCAGGGACCTGGGGCCAATGATGGAGTTTGTTTCTTCTGTTTGGAAATAGGATTTAAAACTTTTCGTTCACTTTTCTTTTATTCAATAACTCTGAAAAAGACCGGTTTTGTGCCGAGTCATTTCGGGATTCACTTTACCGGTTGCTGTTTTCACCTTGGCCATAATCAACCGAAAAGGTGTGGGAAAAACACACAGACAAACAAACAAACAAAATAACTCGTTCCCTCCGATAAAACAACAACAACAAAATACCCTCCTCAGAAAAAAATGGTTGATCCCGCCTTTCCAATTTCTGAGGCTTTGGCAAGCCCAGGTGGCCAGGCCTGGACTTGGTCTCTGGGAGGGGGCCTGACCATCCATCCACAGAGTGAGCGGGGTGGGGGAGGGGTGGGGGTGGGGGTGAGTGTGGGGGGACGGGGGGGGTGGGCGTGGGCGGGGTTTGGATCAGATGGACAGTCCAGGACGTCATCTTTGGCTGTGGATTACAGAATTTGGCTGGACTGGGGCAGGGGCCGAAGAGCCCGCCCCGCCCTCTGCTGGTCGAGAAGCGTCAACGCAAGCCCCCCTCCTGCAACCGCCTGTGGGGAAAGCACAGACAGGTGACTGGACTTCCCCATTTCTGGCTCCACGCGAGGCGGGAAGCACTTGCAGGGGGCGTTGTCTTTGAGAAGGCAGGTGCTGAAGGGTGTTCATGGATGGCGACGGACCATTCAAAGCAAGGAGTGTCCGTGCGTGACTTCGCATGTACACGGACAGACGCACACGCTCGCGCGCGCACACAAACTACCACACCCACACACCTATCCCTCCCTCCTCCAACCCCCTCCCCCGCCCCCCGCGTCCCCCCACCACACACACACACACACACACACACACACACACACACGCGAGAGCACAAGGTCCCGCTAACAAGATATCTGCCGAGTGAGGCACGCCTAGGAGATTTTCCGTGGCTTTGTTTCCTTTTGGCCCGTCCTGGGCCCACGGGAGCCTGTCTTAGTATGTATTGTCCCCTCTTCCACCGAGAAAAAACGGCGATGCCGTCCCACAAGGCGTGGAGACAGAGCCCTGCAGGCCTCCTTGGGCACTTGCCCTGTCTCCCAAGTCCTCCCCCAAGCCCCGTGAATCGCTTGGGCGGGCCAGGGGCGCCCTCTCCTGGTCCTGCAGCGCCAATGCAAGCCTCCTCCCCTCCACTTGAGGCCCAACCGGTGACGTCGGTCCTGGGGGCGGCTGATTGGTCGAGCGGGCAGCTGATTTGGATCCTCCCACCAGCTCTGGGGCTATAAAAGAACGCAGGGCCTTCTTTGCAGAGCTTCTCAGCCCTAGGCTTGTGGTCGTGGTCGTCGTCCTCGTTCTCCAAGGGAGCTTTCAGGAGAGAGGTCTCGCCAAGACCCGGTCCCGGGACATAGAAGCCGCTAGAGCACCTGGCTAGAGCCTGGCTGGGCTGCTGATCCACTGAACGCTGTCTCGGTGTCATTTCTTCTTCACCGACTCGTCCACACCCTTGGGAACCCCTGGGCCTGGACCCCAACATCTGGGACAGCCCCGGCGCCGCCCGGGAAGTGAAGGACTCGCGTGCCTCCGCACGGGCTCCATCCGAGGCTGATTCGGGGCCCGCCATGGCCGACAAAATCCACATGTCACTGGACGACATCATTCGGCTGGACCGGAGCCAGCGGGACCGCCATGGCCGAGGACGAGGCGGCGGCGGGGGTGGGGGCGGGGGCGGGGGCAGGGGCAGGGACCGAGGCTGGGACCGAGGCTGGGCCGGCTCCCAGGGAGGCCACGGCCACGGCCACGGCCACGGCCACGGCCACGGCCACGGCCACGGCCGCGGCGGGGGCAGGGACCTCGGCCGGGACCGAGGCAGGGCCGGCTCCCAGGGAGGCCTCCGCGGTGGCTGAGCGCAGGCCGCGGCCGCCCCCGAGAGCTGGGGCGGCGGGCCGTTCCGGAACAGGGCGGCCCTCGGCCGAGGCAGGGACCGGCCGGCGCCCTACAGCAGGCCGAGACAGCTTCCCGACGAGTGGCACCACCACCGCTTCCGCAGGGACTTCGGCAGGGGCGCCGGCCTGATGACCGGCGGGAAGCTGCTGCTGTCCAACCTGGACTTCCGAGTGTCCGACGCGGACATCCAGCAGCTGTTTGCGGAGTTC